ATATATATTCTTTATACTTTTCAACTCCAAAAGCAACTGCTATTAAAGAAATGATCTTGACTTTGCAATTGAAAGATTTTTTTTTTTTTTTGACGAACCATGTTAGATAGGGCTTGTAACTCGTATATGTGATTATGTATTAATGCTTACTTGTGTCACAAAGAACAGTTGTGTGTTTGTGGGAGGAGGGTTTGGATAACGAAAGGTGAGGAGCTAGAAGCAACCAATAAGGAGTTTACTGAATTACTCAAGACTCTTCAATCTGAGCTCGGAGATAAACCTTACTTTGGTGGCGATAAATTCGGGTTTGTAGACATTCTCATGATTGGATTCTACAGTTGGTTTCCTGCATACGAGAAGTTTGGTAACTTTAGCATGGAATCAGAGTGTTCGAAACTGATGGTTTGGGGGAAAAGGTGTATGGAAAGAGAGAGTGTGGCTAAGGCTTTGCCTGATCCTGAGAAAGTTATTGGATACGTTTTGCTGCTTAAGAAGTTATATGGTAACGAGTAAGATAAGATCTCTTTAATTGCCGTTTTTAGTTCTGTTTAGCTCTGTTTGTGAAGTGGAGCTGTGTTCTGAAAATTTGGATGCTTTTCAAGATTCAATTGGATGTTTGATCTTAATTATAAAACCAGAGCAAATAAATTAGTATCCTTCCAACATCAAGATTCGAACTCGTGACAGTGAAGGCACTCCACTTGGAAGGTCCTCTAATCAATTAGTAGGTCATCTTTGATATAAAAATATGTGTATACTAACTACGATCTGTATATTAGTGTTTGTACTAGTAAGGTTAATAATGACACAACTTATTTAATTACCACGAGTTGTTGTTTTTAAACGGTTTAATATGGTTGGCCAAATCACAAAACTACAAATAGAACAAATGAAAAACAGAGAGAAACGTATGGTTTGGCCAAAAAGGTATAATACTTTTAAATGACATGCTAAGCTAACCTAACTTCACCTACCCCCTCACTCACCACACATTTAAATAAGAGACGAATCCATCAGAAGAAGAGCTTCACGGATTGCAACAATGGAGGACGAGGTGATCCTTCTGAATTTCTGGCCGAGCATGTTTGGAATGAGGACGATGATTGCTTTGGAGGAGAAAGGAGTGAAGTATGAGTATAGAGAAGAGGATGTGGCCAATAACAAGAGTCCCTTGCTTCTTGAAATGAATCCGATTTACAAGAAGATCCCGGTTCTCATCCACAACGGTAAACCGGTTTGTGAATCTATCATACAAGTCCAGTACATAGACGAGGTCTGGTCCAACAAGAACCAACTCCTCCCTTCCGATCCTTACCAGAGAGCTCAAGCCTTATTTTGGGCCGATTTTATCGAGAAGAAGGTAATAACAATCGAAACTTTTGAATGACGAAAACAACTAATGGGTATTTGAAGAATTAACGAAAAGATCTTGAATTTGCAAGTAAAGTATTTCAGACAAACCATGTTAGATTCTAGGGTTTTGCTTGTAACTCAAAGAGTGTTACATGTGCCACACGGATTAGGTTTTTGTTTGTGGGAGGAAAACTTGGGCAACGAAAGGTGAGGAGCTAGAAGAAGCCAAGAAGGACTTTATTGAAATACTCAAGACTCTTCAATCCGAGCTAGGAGATAAACCTTACTTTGGCGGCGATCAATTCGGGTTTGTAGACATTGTCCTGATCGGATTCTACAGTTGGTTTCCAGCATACCAGAAGTTTGGTAACTTCAGCATCGAACCAGAGTGTTCGAAACTGATGGTTTGGGGCAAAAGGTGTATGGAAAGAGAGAGTGTGGCTAAGTCTTTGCCTGAATCTGAGAAAGTTATTGGATATGTTTTACGGCTTAAGAAGTTATATGGGATCTAATAAGACTAAGCTCTCTTTAATTGCTAT